GCACCAAAATCAAAGTTGATACCCTGATGCATGCTCAATAATCCAGGTAGAAAAATCCAAAAAAGTTCAATCTTTGAATGTCCAGAGGACCAGATTGAACTTTTTTGGACAAAGTTGATACCGCATTTATTTTTCAATTTATCATGTGTACACAACACGCAAATGAATGGTGGGGATTTCAAATCCCCCCACTGTTGTCTCCGCAATGGACAATAAAATGTAATAAATTTAATATCCTTGGTGTTATCATAAAGAAAAGGCCTAGCATTCATTAAATGATACTGTACATATTGCCCACTATCTTTTAAGCCAGAATTTTAACTACAGTATAATCATCTCAACAGATCTAGTTTTAGCAGCTACAACAAACCCAGCTCAATATATGTCAAACTGATTGGGTTGTTGGCTAATGCTGATTAGATTTGGAGGCCATGTTTAATTGAGATGACTTGCAATGCTAATGATATGGAGACATGCCTCAAATGTTTATTTTCTGCGAGTTTCACAAAAATCTATTTGGTGGTTCATTAGCTACAGATAGACAAACAAACTCATGCACACCCACACAAAACCAAATGTTTAGTCCCGAGCTACAGTAATAAACTATAGCAAAAAAGATCAATGATATTAGCCAAATTTGCACCTGTTATCCAAACTTTTCACTCATTTCTTCAAAACAAAACAGAAAAAAAAAAGATTTGAAAGTCAATCTTGAGAAGATGATGATTATCTCCGTCTCCCTGGAGACAGGAACAGAATCAGAGTGTAACATTAATGAGCTGCTTGTGGTCTGCCCTCATGCCTGCTGTGACAAGAGACCAGGTTATCCACCCTGGTGGTTCTGGACCCTGTGGGCATGCTCGCAGCTTGAGCAACAAGCAGTGGAGCAGAAATGGACATTCCAGCTGGCTGGCTGAGGAATAATGAAGCCTGCTTGACGAGCATGTGGGCTTACAGTTATGCAGCATGTTGCCCTTGGAGGGACGGATACTTGGATCAAATAACCTTAATTAGTGGGATTTTCACTGACATGTATGCTTATTTGCCATTTGGACATGACTGAACAAAGACTTCCACCCAGGGGAAAGTGTATTTTCATATTGGGGCTGCATCAAGTGATGAAAGTTCATCTTGATCCTGGTGCTGGTTTATCTTCTCTACGAGCTACTTTTATGCTAGGGTCTTCTTCTAACAAAGCCGTTGGTGGAATAACTGCAGTAATAAAAATAAAAAGACAGTGGGATATTTCACAACAGAAATCTACAAAACACCATATTCATGCAGCTACATGGGTAGTATTCTCACTATATATATATATAAATATATATATATATATATATATATATATATATATATATATATATATAAAATCAACGCCCCGTTTACACTGTACCAGATACTTCTGGGAACAGAGATTAATTGCTGTGTTTGCACCTCCAGTCAACTCAAACAGATTTTTTGGTGAGAAAAAAAGGAAAAATAATTTCCCCCAAATTTTCTAAAAATATTCAGAGGCATCAGTGTGGACTCCAAACACAGAGCTTTTCATAAACGACTACGTAGCCACTTAATTTCCTAGAAAATGAGTTCTCAACAATTGACTTAAGGACCGATACTGGTTCATGGATCACTCGGTACTGGACTGCACATAAATAAAAATAAAAAAAAACATGCCAT